TTCCAAAAAAAAAAAAAAAAAAAAAGGAACAGCATTGACAGGGACACAGAAAAAAAACCTTCTCTGCAAATTGAGAGAAAAAAATTCGTGTTAAGTTTGGAAATAAGTATTTATTGTCTATACAAAATTTATGAAAAATCGATGATCATTCTGAAGATATAAATATTATAGAAGGGTTTTATTGGAATATGAATCAGCACGCAGTATTATGACCTTATGATGACCTATTCCTTGAGAACTTGGGATCTGCTGTTTTATGCTTAAATCTTTTAAATAGTTTTAAATTTAGATATGTAAATGATTTGGGAAATTAAAATTCTTTCAAAAAATAGTTTAGGTTATGTTGACTTATTTTTAAATATGTCAGTTCTTGGTTTTGTGATTTCTATATTTATCTTGACTTCAGTTCCAGGATTTACCAAGAATTTGAAGTTACTGTACCCGATTCTATCACTTCTTGGGTGGCTACTGGTTTTGTGATCTCTGAGGACTTAGGTCTTGGACTAACAACTACTCCAGTGGAGGTATCATATTAAAAGGATGCATATTAATGTTACAGTACCATGAAGCTAAGCAAGTATTAACTCCTCAATGGATTTTTTAAAAATGATTGCTTATGATGTTTATCACAGTTTAGAGATTTTTTGGCCTTGCATTTCTTTTCTTATGATTTATGTATTAGAAGAATATGAGCTGTGCTAATCTGCTAAATGTGCTAAGTTCATACTAAGATTTAGATAGAAGACTTTGTTATTGACCTGGTCTCACCACTTCCAAAGGCCAGAAGGGAGCCTCTTTTCATGTGTCCTTCGTCAGGGATGAGCAGAACATCGCATGATGTCCCCCAGCAGACGTTCCTTCCCATCTCTTTGGTCAAATTGCATCACATGTTTCCTACACCAGTCACTTGCAAGAAGAATGTAAAGAACATGAATGGTCTTAGACCAGTAGCTTTCATCTCTGTTATGCCTGAAGCCCCTTTTTTGTCATAGATATTTTGTGTTGCCTTTTATCATCCCAAGAAAAAAATCAGTATGATGCCCTTAGTGAAATATTAAGGATAAATAAAAGGAAAGTAATGTATGATAAAATAATATGTATTTCAGTATGTCAGTGACCAGGCATAGCTGCTCTAGAAGGCGTAGTGACATCCTTAAATGTTTGTGCCATGCATAGACTCACCCTGCATGCAAACAGCTACAAATGGAGTTTGATGTTTCAGTAATTCAAAAACCTTGAGTGGTGCTGCCTGTGATGGTGTAAATTCCTGAAATGGTGAAGTTTTGGTAAAGTTACAAACAAAACATGGTGTAACCTTTTCTTGACTAATGAAATAGTTGTATTCGTGAAAAATTCAATGTGTATTGAAAAAAGCTTTGAGTTTATATATAAATTGGAATTAGATAATAAGTTCAGGTCATTATAAATAGGTGCTTTATGTACATGAATGTCTGAAGGGACATTCAAGAATCGTGAGGAACATGGGACTATTCTTTATTGTCTGGGACTGCCCGAGCCTTGCAGACCTTCACCCTCCAATAATTGTGACAATCTAAGACACATTCACAAATGTCCAAATTAGCCTCTAGAGGGAGTTATTGCTGCTGGTGAGACCATTGGTCTGAACTAATCAAGATTAGCGTCGGAGGCAGAGGAGGGGCTCAGTTCCCCTGCAGTACTTGGCCAACACTATGAGTTGGATCGGCAAGGAGACGTGCATGTGGACGTGTATGTGTAGAAGGGAGTGAGCAGATCATCACTGGGCCTGCCACATTTAGATTTTCCACACTAACCTAAGATGGGGACTGTTCGATTTGGCCAGTGGCTTTTAAAGCAGATTGGTGGAGTAAATATATCATAATAGAAGAGCAACTTGCTTTGGCATCAGACAGGCTGGGACACCGTTCTGAGCCCTTTACTTGTCAGCAGTATAAGCTTGTACTAGTTACAGAGATCTCCGAACTTCAGTTTTCTTTTCTATAAAATAGGTGCATAAAACCAGCCTCACAGAGTTGTGATGATTAAATGAAATAATTTATGTAAAGTGCCTGTTTTCTAGTAGGCACTTAATAAAATGTAGTGATTATTGTGTCAAATAACACAAGTCAATTTGCCATCATTCATTTTGTCATTCATTTTGGTGGACATTTTTAGTTGAAGTTATAAACATCAAAGGTTTTGTAAGAATTGCTTTTGACTGCATAAAATGTGAAGAATTTTGACCTGAATAAAAATATGTACTTGTTGTGTTCTTTCCAGCTACAAGCCTTCCAACCATTTTTCATTTTTTTGAATCTTCCCTACTCTGTCATCAGAGGTGAAGAATTTGCTTTGGAAGTAACCATATTCAATTATTTGAAAGACGCCACTGAGGTAATATTTTCAAGGTTTTGTTTATCATTAACACTTCAGGAGGAAATGGAGATGACATGCAGGGATTGGGTTGTGCAGTGTGTGACATCTGGGCTTCTGTTCATTTCTGGGAGGTTGAAAATAGACAAACTTTGACAGTGGTGTCTTCTGCTTATTAATGTCTAAGGATATCCTTAGCATGTCTAAGCATTCTCTCTCTAATTTCTAGCACAGGTTCTCCGCTTTAGCCACGTAACTTCCTTATTGCCTCTGAGGCATGTTTTCCTCTTTCCTGCGTCCCTGCATTTTGCCCTGGTCTTCCCCACGTCTAGGATGTGTTGCCACTCCTCACTGCCATTCTGTGCCCACTGAAGTTGACAAGAATTTATTCACTTCATGACCTGGCTTGAAACTAAGATGCCTTTCCCGAGGAATCACACTCACTCTGTTAATGATTGCAGTCTCCATGTGTATACAGTATATTATATTTTCTTGGATTTATCTTTTGAGTCATGTGCCTTTTGTCTTCTTAGCTAGTCAATTCCCTGGAAGGCAAGGATGAGGCCACTCTTTGTGTTGTGCCCATGGTAGTGTCAACCAAATGATTGATATTTTTTCCCCAGAGTAAGTAAGGATATGTAATTAATTTTATTACATGAAAATGCCATAATCTCTTTAAGCACTATATCTATAGAGTAAGTCGCTTTTGATTTCTTAATTTTACTTTTTAATCTAGTCAACATAGTATAATATATTGAGCAAAAGACCTGGAGTCAGAAGGCCTGGATTCAATGTTGAGTCTACCACTTACCAGCAAATGACTTAATTGTAGTTTCCCCATCTTTGAAATGGGGATCATAATTATTATCTCTACAAAAAATATTTTGAGAATCAGATAAGAAAATGGAAAACAATTCATAAAATGTAAGGCCTAGAGAAATGCTATTCTTGATGAGACTGGCAACTTTGGCATAATTTACAAAAGTTTGCAACCAAGATATGTTTAAGGACTAATGTCTGAGTCACATTTTCTTTGGAAGAGATTCTCAGTGAGTATAAAAACATTTCGTCTTGATAGTCTCATATTTTGCTAATGGAACCAGTGTGTCCTAGGATGACACAGTTAAATCAGGGTGATACCAGTACATGAAGTAGCCTTTCTGTGACCATCCTTAGCACTTACTGGCCTTACATATTGGGATAACTTAATGTTAGTGGGAGGATTAGGAATGGAGCTGAAGAGTGCCCTCTCTTTTCATATCTAGAAGTAGAGGGGGAAAGCAGAGAAAAAAATGAGGTTTTTCCTGAACACTTTCATCCTCTTGTTGGCTGAATCTTTGTCTCATGTTTCTTTAGTCTTGAGCCTCACAGATTTAACAGCACTTAAAGTAGTGATAAAACAATACTTCACTGAAGAACATTTATTACACAAAACCTTTGATATTTTTTTCTTCCAGGTTAAAGTAATCATTGAGCAAAGTGACAAATTTGATATTCTAATGACTTCAAATGAAATAAATGCCACAGGACACCAGCAGACCATTCTGGTTCCCAGTGAAGATGGAGCCACTCTTCTTTTCCCTGTCAGGCCAACGAACCTGGGAGAGGTTCCTATCACAGTCACAGCTGTTTCACCCACTGCTTCTGATGCTGTCACCCAGAGGATTTTAGTAAAGGTAAATATTTGAAGTCTTAAATAAATGAAGTGGAAACACATAATTGAAAAGGAAACAGAAGGTGGTTTTTCTCTTGGTTAAATTTGTTGGCAAATCGAGTAAGTCATCTTCTCTATCCTCCTGGTAATGCCTAATTGTTTTCTCATCTGCTTGTAAAAATATACAACAAATATGTTTAAGAAGTAATTGGCAGTTTCTTCTTTAAATTTATAAAAAAAATTTTTTAAAAAATTTTTTGTCAATGGCTGGTACTGGGATCTGAACCCTTGACCTTGGTGTTACCAGCACCATGCTGTAACCAAATGAGCTAATCGGCCAGTCCTTCCGCTTTAAACTTAATAAGGAGTTTGACAGTGAAGACTATAAAGTCTCTTTTACAGTCATTTACATCTACAAACTATGTTACATGGGGATCCTATTAAGTCATGGTCAAATTGACTTGGAATTTTGGAATTCCTCAGTGCAGGTAGGAGAGACTTCATAGATTTTTGCAGAGAAGTGATTCTGCACAAAAAAAAAACAACTCAGCGTAATGGTTAAGCACTGTGTTCTGGGGTGAGACAGCCCTGGGTTTGAATGCCAGCTGTGTCAGGGGTGATTTTGGACAAGGTGTTTAATCCCTCTCTTTGGATAATAATAGGACCTACCTCAGAGGGTTTTTCTCATCACATTTTCATTTTCTCCTTTGTCATTTCCATTGTCATTCCATGACATGTTTTGTCTAATTTAACTAGAAAGTATGCACTTATTAACAGATTTGAGGTAAGAATCAAGAAATAGTAGTGCTAATCTAGCTGCACATAAAGTGTAGACACAACAGGCCAGATGTTTGTGTTTATATCTGCATGTAGTTCTCTGTAAATAGATGAGTAGAGACCATGTTAATTGTGGTCCTTTTTTTTTAACAGGCCGAAGGAATAGAAAAATCACATTCACAATCCATTTTGTTAGACTTGACTGACAACAAGCCACAAACAACCCTGAAAACTTTGAGTTTCTCGTTTCCTCCTGATACTGTGACTGGCAGTGAAAGAGTACAGATCACTGCAATTGGTAAGATTAGAGTTTATCTCCATCTACTGGTTTATTTATATATGATAATATATGTTCATCTATTTATAGATGTATTTTCTTATTTAGTCCTCTTGAGAAGAGATTGCAAAAGTTTTTAGTTGGTCCCACCTGCTGATTACAATAGAAAGGCTAGCAAATTATATATCCTAGACTAGTTTTTCCCAATCTTCAGTGTGCATACTAATCACCTGGGGATCTTGTTTAAAAGCAAATTCTGGTTTAGTAGTTCTGGGGTGGGGCCTGGGATTCTGTATTTCTAACAAACTTCCAGCTGATGGTGATGCTTCTTATTTGCAGACCATACTTTGGGTAGTAAGGCTCCACTATGCTGTGGAGGATTATTTATAAGAGCAGAGTTTCTGGCTTCTGTGGCTCTTGACCACTGGTGTCTATCAGAATCTTCTGTGGAGCTTTGTAAAAACACAGATATCTGGGCTGTGCTCTAAACCTACTAAATCAGAATCTTTTGGTTTGTGGTTAGGGCATATATATTTTGAAAAGGTTCCATGACTGATTGTGAGAACCAAGGGTTGAGAACTATTGCTTAGAGCAGTTTTCTGTGCAAGATACAAGTAACCTTTATAATAGGAAGCTACCTACCGACTTTAGTCACCTCTCCTAGTTGCCTTCCAGTAACCTAAACTACTTTTATTTTGTTTTTTGGCAGCTGGCCAGTACAGGGATGTGAACCCTTGACCTTGATGTTATGCCGACTTTAGTCTCCTCTCCTAGTTGCCTTCCAGTAACCTAAACTACTTTTATTTTATTTTGTTTTTTGGCAGCTGGCCAGTACAGGGATGTGAACCCTTGACCTTGATGTTATATCACCATGCTCTAACAAACTGAGTTAACTGGACAGCCCTATAAAATACTTTTGAATTAAACATAGCTTTTTAATTCATAGCTTTTAATTTGAGTCTGGATGGTGTATTAGTCAGGGTTCTCCAGAGAAACAGGACCAATAGGCTATATATATATTTATGAAATTATAAAATAGGAGGTATACATATAAAATGAGATTTATCATGAGGAATTAGCTCATGCGATTGTGGAGGCTGAAAAATCCATGGTCTGTGGTCTGCAAGCTGGGGAGCTGATGGTGTAAATCCCAGTCTGAGGGCAGGAGAAAATGAGATGTCCTAGCTCAAGCAGTGAGGCAGGAAAAGAGGGATGAATCCTTCCTTTCTCTGCCTTTTGTTCTATTCAAGCCCTCAATGGACTGGATGATGCCACCCACGTTGGGTAAAGCAATCTGCTTTAATCAGTCTACCATTCAGATGCTAATCTCATCCGGAAACATCCTTGAAGACACACCCAGAAGCAGTGTCTAATCTGGGCAGCCCCCACTCAAATTGACACATAAAAGAAATCATCATAAATTTTCTATGTAGTCATGCTTTACAAATGACGGAAGACAATGTTCTAATTAATGACATCTAAATAGTCTGTTAGGTCTTTAAGGTGTCAGGGCCTAAAACACTTTTTCAGAGTTCTTTTAAAATTTCATCTGTAGGGTAATGCTTTTTTATTATAACCCAACCAAACCATCCTCATACACAGGACTTTATTTGGAGCCTTAGATATAATTCTTAAAAAGAATTAAATAAGCTCTTCATTTAGGAAAATTAATTCTGCCTAAGTATCTCCCACAGTATTGGGATGCTGGGAGATGCAGTACACACACACACACAAACACACACATCAAACATGCAAACACACACACACATGCACAGAGAAGGAAGAAACTTTGAATTTTAAATTTATACCACCACTCCTTACATAGGAATGAGTCTATCTGTGGTAATAGAAATACTCTGAGGTTTAATTTTTATGCTTTATGTTAAGAATGGATTCTCAAGTTTTATTTTTATATGGTATTTTTTTAAAAACCTACTTTGTAGCCCAGAATGTGAGAATATTAGCTTGTTTCTTTGAACTTGGAGTCTAAGTTTATGTTCACTTCACATATTAAAAACATAACCTGCAGTGGTGCTAATATAACCTCTGTTTACTTCTCTGTGTTAACATCTATAGTTTAAGACATGTTG